CCCGACAGATTTTCTGCACGATCTTTAAGAATTTCGCTTTCCTCTTACTCTAATTTCTATAATACACACAAGATACTCGTTAACAATGTACAGAAGGAATACGAAAACTATTGAGAATGACTGTGGTGTACGAGTCGCGTGACGCAATACGTTGCGCGATCCCGAATATCAATCGCGCGAGCGTGACAATCCCGATAATTTACAACATACAATGATTATAAACGCAAAACTAACATTAATGACTGTCGGCAGCGGCGAAATGAATTAGAGAGAGCTTATTTTATGTAATTCGGATGAGTGCCGAGTGCCCGTCGGCCGTACGACGTAATCTATCAAAAATTCCACAAAGTTAATTCACAAAACGCGTTGCTCGACAACTATTAAGGGCGCGATTCATCCGAATTAATTACCTACAATTATTCGGCAACAAAATCGGTCGACGATGCTCGTCCCACCGGCCGGAAGCTCTCGATTGTCCTTCTTGTTCGATAATTAGGATCCGCTGTACGAGGCCTGCGTCCTTCTCGCTATCTCGCCGAACAGTGCCGAGCGAGAGTCCTGCAGAAGACACGCCGGCGCGATAAATCGCTATAGTGCCACCTGTGGCGCTTTCGCGTTACGCAGGGCTGTCCTGCGCTCCTTGTTATCGTCACGGCCGTATTGGTGGGCTCGGAATATTGACACTGTTATCCTCATTATAGTTAGACATTTGCATTTATTGTGAGTTTTTTAATGCAATTCACCATGCTCACGAAACCGCTTTTCTAAATTAAAAAACGTCACATGAGATTTTTCGATCCCATAACATTCGAAAAACATTACTGCTGCATACCGATAATTTATTTGGCATTTGCTTAACATTAATAGCATATTCACTTTCGTATCAAAAAAAGCCATGATTCACCATGATGTTACTATTTAAATAATAGCTTTAAACTGCGAAGATTTCAATGAATGATTGAATTGAACTCAATCAATTTATGAAAGTATCATTATTTTTGTTTTTTATAAAAGCCGAAGTTATGTTTGACGACGAAAGGAAATATGAAGCAAAGGATACGTGACGCTTGCGCTTCAGTGACTTCCGAAATACTATCAAATGTTAAGAATATTTTGTTGATTCGGATAAATAAATGTTCACAAGTCCATGATGAATATTTTGAACATTTAATAAAATAATTATGTCTGGGTAGAGTGATATTTTTTTTTGGAATATTTTGCGATATAGCATACTATGCTTTTCTTTTTCTGCATCTTTAGCAACTTTATCCTTTAAGGTCATTAATTTTGTAGTAACTATCTTATATCTAGAGAGAGAGGGGGAGGGGAGACAGAGGGAGAGAGACAGAGGGAGAGAGAGAGAGAGGGAGAGGGTGAGGGGGCAGGGGCGGGAGGGAGGGGGAAAGATTTGATTGATTGATCTTTATTAGCTTTCTCAGCTATTTGTAATACAAATCTAGTTTACATTAATAACAATATACTCCTTTAACAATTGCTTAAATAGCTCAATTTTTACATCGTTTTATCTCAGCTGGTAAGGCATTATACACTTTTACTCCTTTGTACAATATACTCTTGTTGTGCACTCGTACTTAATAGTTCTACGAAATTGTATTGCAATATCCTCAACTAACAGCGTTGCACAATCAAAGATAGAAAGAGAGGGATTGATTTGTCTGATCTTTACTAGCTTTCTCAGCTATTTGCAGTACAAATCCTCAACCCAGCAGTCAATCCAATCTCCGACAGTGCTATGCATGATTCATTATCTTCATATCTGATTCAGTATCCTCTTCCTTCTGTAGTTGTTACTTAGTATCCTCTCAGCCGTCTCTCCTCTTCTCCTCCTGTATCGCCATCTGTATCGCCACTTATTTTCAAGTTGTATGTTTGAATCTTAAACATACAATTTACACATCTTTTACTTGTCGCCGTGCATTCAATATACAATTTACACATCAGAGAGAGAGAGAGAGAGATTGCATAAGCTATTGCATATTCCCCTTTGTGTCTGATTATTGTTCCTACGATACGCACAATATATGTATATACACATACTTGAAATTTCCATATGTAAAATATAAATCAAGAATATATAAATTTATTTAAAAAAAAATTAAATATAGTAAGTAGAAAAAAGATTAGGATTTTTGCAATACTTTCCCTAAATAGCGCTTTAACATTTTGTAACTGACATTTCAATTAAACATGTTTCGCATTTTCTAAAGCTGCATCGTAAGCTTCTGTTTTAATCAACGCAGTTGCCAAATTATTATAAACTTTTATACGATGCTCTAATAAAATCTGCAATTTAGCATCACTAACCGATTCTTCCTCTTCATTTTGATTCAAATTTGAATTACTTTTTGTCGATGACAGATATTCTAATGCTCTCCAATAACATTATATTGCAAAGGGCAGCTCTGTCCGAATAAACTATCCATTTTCACGTTCACGTTGCTCATTGCTACAAAAAAATAAGTTCAATTATTATGCCAAAAAAAATAGATTTAATCTTGTCCTTAAAATATTTACTCCAAGAAAATAAATAACCTTTATTATATAATTTATAAACAAAGTTATTACCTTATTTGTCTTCTTTGACTAATGCTTAACATTTCTATTTCAGGCATTTCTAATTCTGACGCTTTCAATACAACTGTATATGATGTAATATTTTTGATAGAATTCCCACAAGATTCGTTTTGCTATATTAACATAAACATGCAACTCATTGCTTAGCCATTTATAAGTGACCTAAAAATATTAATTACGCATTTGTTCTGGCGACTCCACGATTCCTTCTTTTCGCGACGTTGCGGTAACAGGTCGTCAGTTAGTGGTAAGAATAAATCGTTCAATAAACAAAACATATTGCACCATACGTTTCTTTTAAACAGTCATTTGTCAGTAACTATATCTACCAGTAACCGTAGGAAAGACGCAAGAAGATCGGTGATGAAAACCACGCCGGTCTCCTCAAGATAAATAAAAAATAATGAATACCCCTTACAGTAGAATTTTTCGGCGGAAGAATAAGGAGATAATAAGAACTTCTTAACGAAATATTTAATAAACGCAGCTGCATCAATAATGATAATAATTCTTCTAACGGACAAGTACAACTGGATCAATAATGGATCAATGATAAAATCTCCTTGACGAAATATTGAATAAATACAGCTACATCATCGTCGACAAAAATAATTATAAAGAAGTAAGACCCTTTCTAATCAGATCACGTGCACGAAGGTCCGCCGGGAAAGCTAATGTTTAAGGGATTTTTGAACTGATATCGAGCTCACCAATCGACGATCACCACGAGTAAAAGAACCCTAAACAGAACCCTAATGTTAACGATAGAATCTTTGCCTCATCACTTTGACTGATATCCTCCGTATTATTGTAACACGCGAACAAATAAACATTCACACATATTCACACATATGAAATCAACTAATGTTACCATTTCGATATAATAAATCCATATATACTAACTTAATTTAATTTAAATATGAATAAAGTCGTATTTTATTAATTAAAATTTAATCAAATCTTTATTAACCCCCTCTCATTCTGTTCAGAAAATCTCGCTCCTTTCACGCAATCTGTTCAACGGCATCTCACTCACTCTAGTCCTTCTCTCTAGTATTCTCTCTCTCTCTTCCTTTTTCCTCTTGTACGCGGCCTTGATCCAATCCCGAAGCCTGTCCTATCAATCTAACTAGCCTCGCGCAATGCTATCACCCAATCATAAGCAAGCTCTCAGGACCTTATCCGCGCTCCTGCGTCGATATCGACCCTTCCGGAAATCCTCGATCATTCTGTGAGTACCGGTCTATCGTGACGCACGTTGCCTTTCGAACAGTATCAAAACTCTCTGAATTCGGTTTTGCTACTCGGCTCAGATCAAGTGAACTCTCTTCTGGTTTGTCTCTTAAGTTATCCGTAAGGTCAAGGAAACTTAATAACATTAAAGAAACATTGTTACACGCGTGTGAGAGGAAAGCCTCCCCGTCTCGGGCCCAAGGGTCCGGTACGCAGTTATCGTGTGAAGCACGCGGTACGTCGTAAATCGACGTAATATTCTCTCGCGGTCTCTCTCGAATTCCTCGGCGGATTATTCGGTTTAGCCAAAGACAAATTATAAAACTATTGTGTTGTGATCCTAGAATAAGAAGAACTATTGTAATTGTAAGAATAAATCGAGATATCATCGCTCGAATAATAGTGAAGTGCGGCTCAGATTTTGTGTGTGTGAGAATCATTAACTGTTCTGCCCGACACCCCCGAAACCAGACACTTCTCGGGTCCTTTATCAAACATTTTTTGGTCCTTCGAGCCGGATCGGTGGGTGCGGTAACGAACATCTCTGTGTGCGGATTAAGAGAATCGTGTGTGCTTCCACGTGCTACCGGCGAAAGTTCGAGAACGATCCGCGTCGTGCTCTCTCTCTCTCTCTCTCCGACTTCCGTCGCGCTCGCCAGCTCGTGCGTGTTCGGCGACGCTCGGACGGACTCGGGCGCTCGGTAAGCGATCGTTGCCGCCCGTAGTGCGCTCTAACTCTCTCTCTCTCCGACTTCCGTCGCGCTCGGTTACTCGTGCGTGTTCGGCGACGCCCGGACGGACTCGGGCGCTCGGCAACGGATCTTCGCTACGTGTACGGCGTTCTCTCTCGCTCCTTTGACTCTCGACGGCCATCTTGTGAGTCTCGTGCTCGGGATACGGACCTCTCTTTCTCACCTTCGGATACGCACTGCTCATCGGACACTCTCTCTTCAGTGAATTTAATCAATTGGGAATTATCGGATAAAACAAGCATAACTCATCATGTCCATCCTCGAAGCGAAAATCTCTCTGCAAATGAATCGGCACACGTACATCAAGTCGGTGGCTCTCGAGTGTAAGGAACCGATGTTCCCCACTCTTCAACTTCAAATGCTGAAAGTGAAACTCGACCTTATAACAACTGGCAAAAGTTCGAAGCGACTCACGAGCGAATGGCGGAATCCAAGGCTGAGCTCCTCCTGGATCACGATTATTTTAAGAAAAAGGTGTACGATCAGTGTCTCCTATATTATGCCGACGCAAAAGCCGCATTGCTCACGCAGATTGAAGAGAAGGAACGGACTCATCCTCTGTCGGGCTCACAACTAGCCAACCTCTCAATTGGCGGGCAGACATCAGCGCGACGTCATCTTCTGGAGATCACTCTTCCGCAATTCTCGGGTGATTTCTTAACGTGGAGGCCGTTCCACGACTTATTCTCATCGCTCGTTGGACGAAATGCTGACATTTCCAACGTCGAGAAAATGCATTATCTCCGGACCAGCCTCATCAGCCGCCTGGGCGAGGCGGCTCAACTCATCTCTAACTTGCCAATGTCTGAGGACTCATTCGCCTCCGCTTGGGACTTACTTATCAGTCGCTTTGAAAATAAGCGGCTTCTCATTTCGGTTCAGGTAGATCGATTATTCCGCACCAAGACCATCTCACAGCGGTCGGCCAAGGACCTCAACACTCTCCTCAACACCACAACGGAAGCGCTCAATGCCTTGAAGTCTCTCGGAGCTCCTGTTCAACACTGGGATCATCTCTTGGTTCACCTCACTGTCCAGCGACTCGACCCAAGCACCCGAGAGGCATGGGAAGTCAAGCTTGGCTCCACCACGGACCCCCCATCATACAAGGACATTCGCACATTTCTCACCGGCCGCGCCCGAGCCATGGAGAGTATGGAGTTCGGAACCTCGAGCTGCTCTCCAGCGGACAAACCTACAAGGACATTCGCACATTTCTCACTGGGCGCGCCCGATCCATGGAGAGTATGGAGTTCGGAACCTCGAGCTCCTCTCCAGCGGACAAACCAGCTCCCCCGGCTCCTACGACAGACCAGCAAAACGTCGGCGGCCACCGCTCATGTGGCCATCTCACCCCCCTCCGGGACCTCGGAAACCTCCGGATGTGCATTTTGTTCCCTCATTACATTGTCTCTTGCCCTCGTTTCAGAGATATGTCTGCTCATCTGCGGCGAAACATCGTAATCGACAAGCGCCTCTGCTTTAATTGCTTGGGCAGGCATAACGCAGTCGCCTGTCAGAATTCGAAGAGGTGCAGGGAATGCGGCAACAAGCATCATACCATGATCCACATGGATAGCCAATCGCCCCCACGGTCGTCAACGACACTAGGCAAGGCGACCCCTTCAACCGCAGCTACACAGACGTCGGCGCCGGCCTCACCATCTAAGAGCACCACATCAACGGCTTCGGAGTGACTTGCACACGCAGTCCTCCCTCAACCTCACTCGGTAATTCTCACTCGCCCGTCAATCTTACTCGCTACTTGTTGCGCTACCATCAGATCACCTTGCGGCTCTCCTCACTCGGTAAGGATGCTCATCAATCCCGGATCTGAACTCACTTTTGCTTCCGGGCAACTTATCAAAACTCTCCAGATACCTCGACGGCACGCCTCTATCCCTATCATCGGTATTAGAGGATCTCAGTCGGAGCGAACTCGGGGTGTCGTCCCCCTCACCCTTCACTCAATTTACTCTTCGCAATCCGTCAATGTTACTGCCTACATCCTCAAGAATCTAACATCACTCCCGTCCATGGCGACAGCAGAATATAGTTGGCCTCACCTTCACGAGCTCCAGCTGGCGGATCCGGATTTCCTCACCCCCGGACCTATAGACTTAATCCTCGGTGCCGACTCCTACGGGCTGTTCATCCAGCCCGACATCATCAAAAGGTATGAGGAGGAGCCCATCGCTCAACGCACTATTTTCGGATGGATTGTTCTCGGCCCGACCTCGGCACCAACTGCTTCAGTTCATAGTTCTCATCATGTCGCAGTGGATCATGAGCTTCACGACCTCCTCACGAAGTTCTGGATACAAAAAGAGGTCCCCGCATTCTCCACCACTCAGCTCAACCCTGACGAAGAGGAGTGTGAGACTCAATTCAAGGCCACTCTTTCGCGAGATCGTGCGGGGCGTTATGTCGTACGGCTCGCTCTCAAATTACAGGCAAGTCAACTAGGGGAGTCACGGTCAACTGCCCAACGTTGCTTGCAACGAACGCTACGGCGCCTCTCAACGGATCCGATCTATCAGAATCTGTACTCATCATTCATTCTGGAGTACGAAGAGCTTCAGCACATGATCAGGGTTCCCCCTTCCTCTCCAGAACTATCACCGGTGTTCTACCTCCCTCACCATGGAGTCCTCAAAGATGACAGTATTACCACAAAACTACGAGTGGTGTTTAACGGATCCAGCCTCACCAGTACGGGATCTTCTCTCAACGATATTCTGCCCACGGGTGCAAAACTCCAACCAGACATCTCAGATATCTTACTCTGGGTGCGACGACACCGGTACATCTTTATCACTGATATCACCAAGATGTTCCGCCAAATTCAAGTTCATCCGGACAATTGGGATCTTCAACGGATCCTCTGGGTAGACGATCAGCTCAACATCATTCCGTATCAACTCACGACTGTCACATATGGCACCCGATCAGCTCCCTTCTTAGCGATTCGCGTCCTCCTGCAACTTGTCAAAGACGAAGGTAGGAACTACCCCCTGTCTCTCCTCTCCTCAAGGGCAGGTATGTGGACGACATCTGTGGTGGCGCTGACACTCTCCCGGAGCTGACCTCTATCGCTCACCAACTGGTGAACCTCTGCAAGGCGGGTGGCTTTCCTCTGGCGAAGTGGCAGAGCAATCATCCGGAGCTACTCCAGGCTCTCCCGATGGACGTCACTGCAGTAGAGCCTAACTCGTTTGACAACACTCAGGGCAAGATTTTGGGACTCATCTGGCAACCTCATTCGGATCAGTTCGTCTTCTCGAGCAAGGCTTTCAACCGGCCCGTCATCACCAAACAGATTATACTCTCAGAAGTAGCGCAACTATTTGATCCTCTGGGATTCTTATCTCCGGTAATCATCAGAGCGAAGACGCTCCTCCAGGAACTGTGGCTAGAAAAGGTCGGCTGGGATGACTGCCTCTCGCCGCAACTTCGACATCGGTGGACGCACTTCCGTTCAGAGCTGTCTGACCTGACTTCCATCACGATTCCTCTGTGGATGTCTCTCACGCCGTCAGCCATGGTCGAGCTTCATGGATTCTCGGATGCTTCGCAACTCGCCATGGCGGCTGCGGTTTATATCAAGGTCATTCCTCACACAACAGAGCCAATCATCACACTGGTGTGCGCCAAAACCAAGGTCGCACCTCTCAAAAGGCTCACCATTTCCCGGCTGGAACTCATGGCAGCGGTTCTACTCTCTCGTCTCATCAGCTATGTTCAACGAACCCTAGAACTCGCGGAGATACCAATCTACTTGTGGACGGACTCTTCGGTATCGCTCACCTGGATAAACAGTCATCCCTCTCGCTTGAAAGACTTCGTTCGTAATCGAGTGGCGGCAATTCAAGAACGCGTACCTCAAGGCCATTGGCGGTTTATTCCCGGTAAGGAGAACCCAGCCGACTGTGCTTCTCGCAGCCTCTCTTCCGCGCAACTCTCTCGGCATCATCTTTGGTGGAATGATCCCTCATGGTTAGCACAGTCTCCTCAACATTGGCCAAGCATGGTATCAGCCAGATTCGGCGGCGACTCTTGAGGAACGGCCCGGTCTTCTTCTCACCTCCTCAACGGTAAAGCAACACCACCTCTGGGAACTCCTCTATCGTTACTCATCACTCATACGGCTTCTTCAGATCACTGCTCAATGTCAACGATGTTGCGCGATCCTCAAAGGTATACCACAGTTCTCTCTGGCCACACCCCTCACACCTGCAGACCTCGAAGGTTCATATTGGATTCGGTCAGTTCAATCGGCTTACTTCTCATCGGAACTGACAATCATTTCAAGCGGAGCACACTTGACAAGATCTCATCCTCTCGCCAAGTTTACGGCCTTCATCGATCATTCGGGCATCCTCAGAGTCGGAGGCCGATTCAGGCATTCTCAATTGGACCCTGAATGCAAGCACCCAGCCATCTTGCCACGGGATATCTGTCTCAACTCATTATATCGGACGCTCATGTAAGGACTCTTCACGGCGGAACTCAGGTAACCTTGACATATCTTCGCCAGGCTTACTGGATCGTTGGTGGCCGAGCCCCAGTGAGATCTCACATTCTCCGCTGCGTTCGGTGTGCTCGACAACGTGGCGTAAGGGCACAGCAACTCATTGGTCAACTGCCATCATCTCGCATTTCGCCATCTCGTCCATTCCTCAACACAGGGGTTGATTACGCCGGCCCCTCACTCTCAAAACTTGGCGAGGACGAGGAGCTAAGTGTCACAAGGTTGGTTAGCCATCTTTGTTTGCTTCTCAACTTCGGCGGTTCATCTGGAGGCAGTGACGGACTACTCAACAGAGGGATTTATCGCAGCATATCGGCGATTAACGGGACGGCGAGGTATCTGCCAAACTCTATTTAGCGACTGTGGAACCAATTTTCTTGGGGCAGATACATCTCTTAAGCGGTTATTTAACGCCGGATCAAAAGAATTCTCGGAGCTCGCTCAGCTACTAACCCATGACGGCACCACTTGGGTCTTCAATCCTCCGGCAGCCCCCCACTTCGGCGGTAAATGGGAGGCCGCAGTCAAATCGGTCAAGCATCACCTACGACGGACTATAGGCGAGACTGCCCTAACCTATAAAAAACTTACAACTCTTCTAGTCCAAATCGAGGCAATCCTCAACTCCAGACCATTGTGCCCACTTTCAGACGACCCGGAAGACCTGGCAGCCCTCACCCCCGGGCATTTCATCATCGGGGCAGCGCCAACTACAATTCCTGAGCCATCTCTCTCCTCAGTGCCCCTCACAAGGGTATCTCGGTGGCAGCTCATTCAGCAGCAATTCCAGCATTTCTGGTCGCGTTGGTCAGTTGAATGTCTTCAACGTCAGCTTGCGATATCGAAATGGCATCATCCTTCCACGCAAATCAAGGTCGGCTCTCTTGTACTTCTCACGGATGAGAGATTTTCTCCATCAAAATGGCCTCTTGCTCGGGTCACACGACTTCATCTTAGTTCGGACGGTCTCTGCAGAGTGGTCACCCTCAAGACGGCTATCACAGAACTCAAGCGGCCTATCACCAAGTTGGCAGTGCTTCCGATGACACAAGATCAACCCTCACCCACTGAGCAGTCGGCAACAGATCCGGCCTCACCATCACCAATTTCTTTGAGCTGACGTTGCGCCGCCTTGCTATCGTTCACCGCCTTCGCGATTCCCGCTGCTCCGCCAGTAAACGAACCGAGAACTCCCAATAATGGTAAAATTGGTAAGATACCACCGCGCTTCGATATAGGAAGTATTTGTTTTTTCACAGTCTTTTTCTTTATCGATAATTTTTTTGTTTTCATCCCCATACCGAATTTTGTCTTTGCTTTCATAGCAGCCCAAACAGCCGTAACAGCTGCTTTTTTGCCAAGAGTCGAATCTCTCGCGGTAATACGTGTTCACGCTTTCGTGGCGAGTATATTATCCGCAACGTGTCGTTGACCGAGATCGTTACTTCGGGGATAAGCTATGTCGTGCTCGCGACACGCGGCATCCAATGGATTGATACCCCGATCGCCTCTAGCCAATCGCGTTTCTAAATGAGTTCCCGGTCCGCAAAACTGATAGCCTGGAATATGTAATTCGATAGGAAGTGCGTTTATAGCACGATTTAACAAACCGCTACCTCTTATAATTTTTGCTGGCATTTGCCAGCACAATCTTTTATTAACGGTGTTGGACCGTCGAAATGTGTTTGCTGCCACGGCAAATTATAAT